TTAAACTTAATTGGCCTTATATTAATCTGCCACAAAATATGATGTTAAAAGAAAGATTAGTTGCCCATTTGGAAAATATGCAGGAACAATCATATGCGGATACCTCAAATGAATGTATGGATGACATTGATGCTTTTTTTTGGGAAAAATACTGTACAAAATGCTTGTTCCGTTAAAAATTTTTTTATTCAAATGATGATTCCATGAATATTTTTAATACTTATATTAATTTAAAAAAAATATTTTTTGAATATAATACACCTTTGCCATCCTTGTTTAGTAAAGCTAAACTTGTTCTAAATGAAAGACTCGGATGTTTAAATGATGATAATTTACAAAAGATTTTATTATTAAAAGCTAATTTTAATTATAAATAAATATATTATAATTGTTATATATTCAATTACAATAAATTTATACCATATTTAATTTATTTTTATATTAGTTAATTTTGCATCGGTTATATTATATTATTATTCAATTACAATAAATTTATAACATATATTAGTTAATTTTGCATCGGTTAGAAATTTCCTTCAGAAATTTAAATAGAAAAAAAGGTCGATCCTGGATTTTGATCCTCATTTTTTGAAAAGATCGTGATCGGGATTCGATCGTTTTAAAAAGATCGGTTAACAAGCCTGCTAACAACACATAATAAAGTTAGTGTATATATATATATATACTAAAAAGCATAAATGTTCTTATATTTTTTTATTTTTTAGAATACATCCATTTTAGCTTCTGATGATATTCCCACTATTTTTAGTGAGTTGATCCTAATCTTGACTCCTCTGCAAGTTTAACGCATTCATTTTTAAAAATTTTTTTATTTTAGATAACAAACCCTACTTTATTTCCTCCTTATAATTGTTTAAATATTGATATATCTACCATTAATAATCAACAAATACAAAATAAATGTTCAGAAAAACATGATAGTCTTGCCCAACTAGATAAATTTTAATTTTTGATGATAGCCTCCCAACTACTAGAGATAGGCATATATTGACCCCTTTACAGGTTCAGTACAGTATTTTAATGTTCGTTTTATTTCAATAATAATGTTTTATATTTTTGCCTGATTTCCTTATTAGGCTAACCCAACCTTGATCCCTCACATTGCTACAAAACATCATATTTCTATTCAGCGTCTACATGAGCGGGAGGGGTAGGAACAGTTCACATCCTATTTTTTGAGGGGTAGGGGGTAGGCTGCTTTAATGGGGTTAGGATAAATTTATTTCGGGGTTATCTATTAAATTTTGAGATGAAATAGGACACAATTTATTGCTGTAAAAATTAATACTTTTATTATAGAATTATTATAGTACAATTATTGACTAAATCTATATATTGCAAACAATCATACACATTGTTTTCCAAATCAGCAAGCTCATAATGCCATAATAATTAATTCATTGTAAATAATGGAGGTTTTAATTGAATTTATTATCTAAATAAGAAATTCGTTATATTCACAAAATATCGATAGTTGGTAGTATAGATAGATTAATTTAAGTTATCCTTATAAATTCTCTGAAAAAAGTATCAATATAATTATAAAGGTGAAAATAATAATAAAGAGACATTGCCGCCGACGGTGGCAGGATTTTTTAGGGGGGTAGGCAAAGGTTTTAAAGGGAATTTGCATCCAATGAAAATCCTGTCATATAGACGCTGTTTCTATTAAAGATAAGCAAAGAAAAAAATGGCGACTCAACAAACGCCTTACCCGTTCTAGAATTACAGGTATGCAGGATAATAAGGACCTACGCCTGATACCAACTCCCCTGCAGGTTTTTAATGTTTTATATATATAGATATATTTTATATTCACCCAGATACCTTCAACTGATATTTCTATAACCACTACCACATTCCCTATGGCACCTCTACCATGCATATTTCGACATATATTTGAAGACCGCCACTCACCTATATTAGATATCGGAAACATGACAGAAATATGCGCCTTCTGCAATGCTAAAATGTGGAATGGAGAAAAATTATCAAAAAGCTCATGTAGAAATATTCAGTTTTCTACATGTTGCTTGAATGGGAAGGTAATTTTATTTAAAATTTTCCAATTACCACCAAATTTATTACGTTTATTTATCGGGGATCATTGTTCATCATCCCACTTTTTAACAAACATAAGAGCATATAATTCCGCACTGTCATTCACTTCACTGGGAGTTAATATAAATAATCATTTATCCAATTCGCGATCAGGTAATTATACCTTTCAAATTAATGGACAGGTTCATCAGCGCATTGGTTCACTCCTACCAACATTAGGGGAAACACCTAAATTTGCCCAATTATATATACATGATAGTATAAATGAGATAGAAAACAGACATAACCAGGTTCCGTTTTTAGATCGTTGTCTTTTAATGGAATTGCAGGATATTGTTCACACCTACAACTCCTTTGCTTCTCAATTTTTGAGTGTATCTTCTATGATCGCTAATGGCGTTCCTAACATATCCTTAAACTTAAAATCTACTCCAAGTTTTGACATACGTTATCGCAATAAACCTACCTCATCTGAAATAGCAGTATTATTACCTGGTGATGGTAGTGATCATATAGCCCATAGAGATATTATCTTAAAAACTATATCTGGTCCTTTACGACGTATTAACGAGCTTCATTCCTCATACGATCCCTTGCAATATTATCTTCTATTTCCCAGAGGCGATATTGGATACCACCCATCCATTCCTTATAGAAACTCAACTAATAAATATGTTACCTGCAGAGAGTACTATGTCGCTTTATGGTCAGGCAGGATGAAGAGAATGTTATTTTAAGATCCAAACGTCTTTTTCACAAATTTATCGTCGACAGTTATGCCAAACAGGAAACGCTTCGATTAAATTTTATACGTAATAATCAATCCAAATTATGCGCCAAACTCTATCAAGGCATACATGATGCTATTTTAGAGGGAGATACTAATGCTGACAATCTTGGCAGAAGAATAATTTTATTTTGCCTTCTTCTTTTACCGGTGGCCCAAGGCATATGCATCAGCTTTATCAGGACGCAATGGCTATTGTATGCTGCTTTGGTAAGCCATCATTATTCATTACTTTCACCTGCAACCCTAAGTGGGATGAAATAATGCGTAAATTATTTCCTCATCAGACTCCAAACGACCGCCCAGATTTCGAGTGTCGCGTTTTTCGTCAAAAATTATATTGTCTTAAAAAGGATTTGCTCTATTATCATGTTCTTGGCAGAGTAATCGCTTATATAGATGTCATAGAATTCCAGAATAGAGGTTTGCTTCATTGTCATATGTGCCTTATACTATATATATCTTATAGGCTACCAACGGCTGATACTTATGATGAGGTAGTTTATGCTGAGATTCCTAACAAAATAACTGAGCCTAAGCTGTTTCTAATTATTAGCAATTTTAATACACATGGGCCATGTGGTATAACATTTCCTAATAGTCCCTGCATGATTGATGGAAAATGCTCAAAAAAATATCCTAAATCATTTGTGGATACCTCTTCTATTGATAAGTATGGTTATCCTTTATATCGGCGACAAAATGATGGCGTTACCTTCCAAAAAAAATTAAACGGATTTATATTTAACAACCGTTGGATTATTCCTTATAATAAACATTTATCAAAAAAATATAATGCACATATAAATGTAGAAATTTGTTCTTCTGTCCAGTCCATATACCTTTATAAGTATTGTTACAAAGGCCATGACAGAACTACTGCATCTCTTTCCATTAATAATGTCGATGAAACTACCCAGTTCATTGATGCTCGATATATATCCGCCATAGAATCGCTATGGCGTACTCTGGATTTTGAAATGCAAGATCATTCTCCTGCAGTCTATCATTTAGACCTTCATCTACCTAATCAACATTTGATCCTTTTCCAATCAAATACTGATTTAAATAACATCTTAACTAAAAATCCTGGTACAAAATTAACCGAATGGTTTAAAATTAATGATCTTGACACAGATGCCAGAAAATATATTTATGCAGATTTTGTAAGATATTATGTGTGCAAACATCTATTTAAACAGTGGATAAAACGACAAAGGGGTGGTGATAAGGTTATTGGCCGTATACGCACAGTTTCTCCTAAAGAGGGTGAGGTTTTTTATTTAAGACTATTATTACTTAATTATGTAGCTGGGCCAACATGCTTTGAAGATCTACACTCTTTTAATGAAATTGTCAGTAATATTTTTAAAGATGCATGTATTCGACGTGGTCTGTTATCAGATGATGCGGAATGGAACCATTGTTAGAGGAAGGTCTTTCATTTAAGATGCCATATAAATTGCGCCAGTTATTTTCTGTTATTTTATTACATTGTGAGCCGAGAGATCCTCTAGGTCTATGGAATTCTTTTAAATTTTATCTTTGTGAAGATTTTGCCAAAAAAATATCATCAGAGCCGGATAACCTTATCAACGAAAATCTCACGCTATGCCACATCAATCAAATTTTGATTCAAAATGGTAAATCTCTTAAGGATTTTTTAGGAATGCCTATCCCTTTATTATCCACTCAATCTCCATCTGCTACAGCTAATATTAGGTGTCACCTTATTCGGGAGAAAATTTCCTACGATACTGATGATATGTATAAAAAATATTTGGCTAACTACAATTTATTTAATCGGGATCAAAATATTATCTATGCCAAAATTATGTCCTTGCCCTCCACTCCATCCCATAATTTATTTTTTATAGATGGTCCTGGTGGTACTGGAAAATCATTTCTATTAAATACAATATTATTTAACTTGAGATCTCAAGGTAAAGTTACAATAGCTGTTGCATCTTCTGGCATTGCTTCAACTCTTCTTTATAATGGCCGTACTGCACATTCACGTTTCAACATCCCCTTAAGTATTCATGAAAGTTCCTCAAGTAATATTCCTTACAAAAGCCAAATAGCAGAATTGATAAGATAATCGGTAATTATAATATGGGACGAAATATCAATGACTCATAAACATATATTCGAGGCCGTGGATAGGTCATTTCAGGATATAATGAAATTAGATAAACCGTTTGGTGGTAAAATTATTATTTTTGGCGGAGATTTTAGACAGATTTTACCTGTTATTAAACGTGGTGGAAGATGCGACATTATTAACTCAACCTTAAAACGATCCTATTTATGGTCGCATATAGTACCATTAAGATTGGGTATTAATATGAGACTTCTACAATTTCAGGAAGCAAATGATTATCTTATTAATAATAAATACTCAAAATTTATTTTAAGAGTTGGTGAAGGCTATGAAACATTTGATGGCTCCAGGGATAAAATAAAAATTCCTGAAGATTGCTGTATAGCTTCCAATGATATCGAGGATCTTATTGCTTTTGTTTACGATATAGACAAAGACAATACGTCCTTTAACCGAACATCATTTGCTCAAAATGCAATCCTGACCCCCTAAAAACGTAGATGTCGATTCTATAAATATTAAATTGATTAAAAATAATCCGGGGGATTTAATTACATACATAAGTGCTGATGAAACGATAACCAAGGATGAAGCGACGTTTTATCCCACTGAATTTTTGAACTCTCTAAGTATATCAGGATTACCACCTCACAAACTTTTACTCAAAGTCGGGGTACCTATAATATTAATGCGTAACTTAAATTCTGCTTCTGGTTTGAACAATGGGACTAATTTGATTATAACTTCTTTGCTACCAAATGTAATTGAGGCGGAATTTGTTTCTGGTAGTTTTCTCAGTACTAAAGTTCTCATTCCTAGAATAAGTTTAATTCCTACAGATTCTGGCTTGCCATTTTCCTTAAAGCGCCGCCAATTTCCCGTGAGACTTGCTTTTGTCATGACACTTAATAAAGCTCAGGGACAAACGTTGAACAAAGTTGGCATCTATTTACCTCATCCTGTTTTTTCACATGGACAGCTATATGTGGCTATGTCTCGAGTTTGTTCTCCTCATAAATTAAAGATTATAACCAATGATAAAACAAGAACTACAACCAATGTGGTATATCATGAGGTTATATCCGATTAATCCCGGTTTAAACGAATAAGAATAAACATACTTAGTATGATGTTATTTTATAATTTAAACAATTTTATATTAGCATCCTTTTGTCGGGCTGCACAATATGCTCTTTTATCTCTGATGAATATTTTGTCTAATTGAAAATTATACAAAGTACATTTTTAAAATTTAACTAAATTAATATAACAATTTTTAAGGATCCTACTTTTTTAAAAGCTTACCATTTTGTCGTATCCACCATTGCTCTATTATCCCTGCTGATTATTTTGTATAACGCACAAAAAATATACATAGTACATTATTTTTATTATAAATAATATTATATATGATTTTATATCTATTCCAAAAAATCTTCATTTTATTTCAATAATAATGTTTATTTATATTTTTGCCTGATTTCTTTATTTGTCTAGGCTAACCTAACCTTAATCCCTCACATTGCTACAAAACTTGATGAATCTATTAAAGATAAGCTAAGAAAATAATGACGAATAAACAAACGCCTTGCCAGTTCTAGAGTTACCGGTAGCCAAAATAATAAAAAACTACGCTTGAAATTAACTCATTTATTTTTTTTATCTTATATTTTATATATATATAATTTGCATATAAGTTTCATTAGTGTTTAATGGCACTTTTATTTAAATAGATAACATTTTTTTTTTATTTAAAATAAAATATAGACAAATAATTTGAGAAATGCAAGACATACATTAAATTTATCCGAAAAGCTACAATAACTATATATAATATAAACAAAAATTTATTTTTTATATATAATTATAATTGATCATATTACCAAAAAGTATAAGAGTCGGTTATTTTTATTTCATTTGTCATGATTCTCTAATAAGTGGTTTGCCCAGGCTTTCCCAGTTTCCCTTAATACGGAATTCACATGTTTTTTTTACATCTTAAACTTATTGGTAAATCATATAATTCTCGTTCATGTGATGATAAATCAATTTTAACTATCTTCTAGGTGGGGAAAAATTTTCATAATTATATTGGATACGACTGGGCTTGGAACCTCAAAATTTATATTAGCTTGCACCTGACATGGGAATATCTTTAACTAATTATTAAGGATTGAGCTGGGCTGGATAAACTTTTATAATTATATGCTTCCTAATATTGTGAGGGATCTGGCATGACAACTTTCGTAAAAAAATGAATAAAAATCTCATTCCCCGTCATTTTTGACGGGCTTTCTACTAGTATATATTATTATGCATATTAATTGAAATGTAAAAATTAATATTTTAATAATATATTTTGTATATAGATGTGATTTTAATTTAAATTTTTTTTAAAATATAATTCAAAATTAAATTTTAACAATAGAATCTAAATTAAGCCCTATGCATTTTATAAGTATAATAAAACATGTATTCCACGTAATGTCGATTACGATTCAGCCGAACCCTTTTAAAATTGTTAAAAAATTTTGGAATTATTTAGATAGTTAAGAAAATGAGAAAACCGTTTATTTTAGCTCGCTAGCACACCTGGTTCCCGAGATATAGGGGCTCAAAGGTCCAAAAAAGAGCCACTTTGGAATCTGTAAAATTTTTAAAATGCTTATATCTCAAAAACTATTTATAGTAAAAGAAAATATTATATATCAAATTGTAGGTAAAATTAATCTCTAAAGAGCTATTTAAAAACAATAAAAATTGGCGCCAATATGAGCCGTTAACTTTCAGTTTACCTATTTTGCTTTACCTGTGTTTTTAAGCAAAAAAGGTTTGTTTTCGAAATTTTTTTATTGATTTTTATTTATACACCTTTGCTAAATATATATATGATGTCAAAACCTTGGCGACGCTATCGACTCCAAAAGTTGATGTAAAAAATAAATATAGCTTTATGAAATTATGGATGGTTAAAATTTTGCTGCTAACTTATCAATAACCTGATATTTTCACTTTTTATACTAAAAAATTTTGAATTTTTATTAAATATACAAATTAAACTGAGGAGCAGAGTGGGTAAATGCCAGACACTTAATAATGTAACAAATTTTCAATAATATCTTTCATATAATTTTTTTATTTTTAAGGTATCTAAAATCTCATTAAATTTTTCATCATTTGATGAAGATAATGGTATAATTTTAGTTGTTAAAACTTTTTTTTACTCCAGATATTTTTTTCTTGGAATATTTCTTTTCACATAAGCGTTTTCTCTTAATGAGGGATTCCCCTAGTGATTGTAGGGATATATTAATGTTATCAACAGCCTCTTGATTAATTATATGAGGGGGTGAATCAATATCTACATTGTCATTTGAAGTATAAGGAATATTTGCTAATTTTTGTCGGCATGAAGAGCATATTAACATATCTAAATTGAATGGTAAATTTTTTTTGGGTCAGCCAGAGTAGAATCTTTCTTAGATTCAAGCGATAATAAGTATGCCTCTGTAGATTAAATGGGTCGCAACATTTTAATAAATGGTACGTCCATCTGTGATATAAAATAATATTTTAATTGATATGCACTTAGAATATATGTTTTTGCACTCTCCAAATCCCTAATGTTATTGGTAGACAGTGGATAAAATAATAAGCTGCAGACGGGTTGAATTATTTAAAATTAATCTGAACGGACAAGTTAAAAATATTACGCAGAAAGAGAGATCGTTTTAAACAGTTTATTTGTAAAATATAATCGATAATATGCTGAATAAAATATTCCCTTTTGCTGCAGCTGTTATACATTATCGAGCTAATAAGTCATTCGCTATGGTAGCAAAGTAGAGATCTAAAAAATGTAAAACTTTTTAAAGATGGTGGGAGGGGAAGGGGGGGGGGGTCAGAACTGGAAAATTTTATCACATTTCTTATAAACGTATCAATATTTTCATTTTCCTTAAGAATAATATTTTTCAACCATTAGCGCCATCTACTTTTTTCTTCAATTTTTGGTAAAAATGTATATTTCGGAAAAGTTGATAGAATCGCCAAGATTTTGACATCGTATATAATTTATAACTAAATAAAAAGGAAAAAAAATTTCGAAAACAAACTCCCTTTTTTGCTTAAAAATACAGGTGAAGCAATATAGGTAAACCGAAATAAAGACTCAAATTGGCGCCAATTTTTATTATTTTTTTGATAGCCCTTTAGAGATTTCTTTTACCTACAATATGACAGGCTTGTTAACCGATCTTTTTAAAACGATCGAATCCCGATCACGATTTTTTCAAAAACAGAGGATCGAAATCCAGGATCGACCTTTTTTTTAAAAAAAGATCACGATCGCGATCTTTTTTTCTATTTAAATTTCTGACCGATGCAAAATTAACTAATATATGTTATAAATTATTGTAATTGAATAATAATATAATATAACCGATGAAAAATTAACTAATATAAAAATAAATTACATATGGTAGAAATTTATTGTAATTGAATAATAAATATAACAATTATAATATATTTATTTATAATTAAAATTAGCTTTTAATAATGAATTTTTTTCTAAATTATCATCATTTAAACATCCGCGTCTTTCATTTAGAACATGTTTAGCTTTACTAAACAAGCGCTCCACAGGAGCGCTAGCGCTTGATTGCAAAGGTGTATTATATTCAATAAATATTTTTTTAAAATTAATATAAGTAATAAAAATATTCATGGAATCATCATTTGAATAAATTTTTTTAACGGAACAAGCATTTTGTACAGTATTTTTCCCCAAAAAAGCATAATGTCATCCATACATTCATTTGAGGTATCCGCATCATACAGTGAAGGAAATCTATATTATGAAATGGTAATTAATTTATTATTAAATAAGTGTTCATTTTATTCATATAAATCAAATCAAGTATCTGAAAAACTTAACCTTTTTAAATTTTACAGTCAAGTCTGGCACATCATCTGTATGGTATTTATTTATATTTGGGTCATATCATAAATATTGATTAAATGTAAACTTAATACTTAATATACAAAGAAGTTAATATTGTAATTTATTTACAAAGAATATTAATCAAAATATTAGCTTAAAATTCAAATAATCTAATAAATTTTTAATGTCTTCAAAAGCCCATTAATATTTTACTAGATATCAAAGGTTTAGTAGAACTGGCCTGTTAAAAATATTTTACTAAATTTGCCAGATCTTTGCAATTTTTTAATATATTTTGCAGATATCTGATAATATAAAATAATTGCATAAAAAAATATTACCTTTTATCAATACCTCTAAGAACATTATCTACAAGGGGCTGACAATACCGCAGGCAGCTAAATTTCGTTAATTTATCTATCAATATCGATAGAACGGGAGTTAGATATCCCTGCTCCATATTATCCTCCAGTTCCAAGATTTTTTTTCCTATTATGAATATAATGAAGCTTTTTGGCATTTAAGAACTTATGGATTGAGTCAAATGATACAAAAAATACTTTCAATTCAAAATATATTATTAAAAAAAGCCCTAAAAATGTTGTCAAGAGGATTATATAATCAAGCTCAAACTGAAACTATAATACTAATTGATTAGATTTAACATAATATAATAAAGAAATAATAGAATAGATATTTATTTTTCTTTTGGTGAAACATTGCTAAGTTGAATACAAATAACATTGAACTGGATGTTTTAATTATATTAATGAAAGTCAAAATACCTTCCATTTATTATAAATACTCTTCTTTTGAAAATTAAACTAATATAATAGTAATATTAAAAAATAAATGCCTAATTATTATATATAAATAACAAAACCAAGATTAACTCTTCATCAAATATTTTATTAATTATACTGTATCTAATAATTCATTTTTTTTATAAAGAATCTGTATCTAGATTCTATTTCTGAAGGACCTGCTCAATTCAGGAATGCAATAAATTAAATTTAAACAAGTTGACATTAAGATTATCAAATAAAAAAAAATTTAAAAGAAAGGATGATATTTAGGAAGATGATATTATCTTCTTACAGAGACGGCATTTGGTGCTGATCATATTATAAGAGTTGCTATAATCTATTTCACATAAAGTAAAATACTTGCGTAATTTCAAAAATGGTAAAAGATTCTCATTCTCACTTATAACTGCTGTTACATCAATAGTAGAAGCAATAGAATCTTCTAAATCCATTTACATTTACTTATTAAAATAAATATTAATATATTATTATAAATTTATATTAAATAACTTGTAAGAGCTCTAAATCTCGTAAAATTTGGGAAATGAATAAATATATCTATAAAATAAATATGGAATGGAAGTTGATAAAATATGAAGATAGATATTTTTTTAAAAAATAATATTTTAATTTAATTTTCAAAATTTTTATTTTATTTATTGCTTTTTAAGTAAAAAATTAATTTTTAAAAAGATCGGGATCGAATTTTAAACAAAATGATCTCGATCTCGATCCTCAATTTAAGTCAGAATCATAAATCTCGTAAAATTGACAAATTTGCGATCGAATCCAGGATCGTCGATCTTTTGATTCGATCTTTTAACTCTGCAATATGATATATTATATATTTTTTACTATAAATAGTTTTTGAGATATAAGCATTTTAAAAATTTTACAGATTCCAAAGTGTCTCTTTTTTTCACTTTTGAATCCCTATATCTCGGGAACCAGGTGTTATCAGCGAGCTAAAATAAACATCTTTCTCATTTATATACCTATCTAAATAATTCCAGAAATTTTTAATAATTTTAAAAGGTGCCGGCCTAAAATGTGCTTTTTTGATCGATTTGACATGGAATGGCAGTATATTATCTTGATACATTTGTAGGAATGTATCTCTATCGAAATCAATGGGTTTGATAGACTCAGTTCCATCACAAATGGCTTATATTTTATAAAATACTGGACCAAGATTAATAAAATTTTTTGGATATATATATATATATTCTAAGATAAATTTAATGTGGTTGCTGATAATTTGATATGATTATGTATATATATTATTTTTTATATTTGAACCTTTCTAAAAGTAGGTTTATAAGTTATAGTAATATTTTTTATATTTGCCTATTCAAAATGAGTACATATCTTTTTTATATTTTACTCAGTAGGTATAAATCATAAGGGGATATATATATATATCATTTTTTATATTTGCCTACTCTAAACGTGTGATTTTTTTAAAATAGTTGCACACTGTTTGTACCTATCCATGGCCGCTTTTATGCTTTTATTGAATTTGAAAAATATTTATAAATATACTTCATATACACATTCGTGTAAGTATTCTACTATATTTCATTATGATCCTGATCCATCAGAAAAATGGTATGATAATATATCATTGTTATATTTCTAATCTAAATTTATTAATAGGATGCCAAAAAGAAGAAAAAATGCTCAGGATATTGCCCTTTGGCTTACCAGAATCAAGTCCACAACTTTCAAAGATACTGATAAGTTCATTGATAATCGTATAACCAAAGCTTTATCGAGTATGCAAGAGTAAATTTGATAGCAATATATTAATTATAATTGAGAAAGTGTTATTTTAAAGAAATCAATAATTTTATATATAATGTTGCTATCGAGAATCATTTAAAATATCTCATTTTAATTATTCTTAAATTTATAATAAACCCCATTTAATTTTCTAGCTAGTAAATTACTAATTTAATTTATTTTTAAAACTATTTGGTTAATGAAATTTAAGATTCTACTTTTAACATCTTAATATAATTTGTCAACAATTTTTAAAATAAGGATAGATGGAGGAATAGGCTAAAGAAAAAATTTAGGGCTGCATCCAAAAAATTAATTCAAAAACATAAAATAAACCTTTATTTAATAGAGAAATAAAAATATGGCCATAAAATATTTGTGAAATTTTTAAAAATTTTTCACTAGGTTTCCATATAAAACCTTTAAATTATATTTTTATATCCTAGTTTTAATGAACCCCTTTTCAAGAAGTATGGAGCTGATCTTGCGGCTTCAATATTTGCTTTAAAAATAGGAGGAGCTGTTCAATTTTGGGATCAAAATTATTGGTACATTGCAAGATACCAAAATGCTAAAATGCCAACCAATAAAGAGACTGAAGATGAAGACAATTCTAACAATCAAGAATTTTTAGAAGAAATGAAATTTAGTGATGATAACATTTTATTGCACACACTTTTATCTAGGTATTCAAAGTGTTCACGTAATTATGATAATAGATTTTATCAAAATATTGAAGTATCTGGTTGCATTGATTCTGATCAAATAAAAACTCCCAAGATATGTTTAAAATCTGATTATACTTCAAAAGAAAGAGAAATTTTACCATCTAACAAAACTCATAAACTTGATGTTATAAAAAAATCATCCACTGATTTTACCATTAAAAAACTTGATTTTTCGAATTCACGTATCATGTACAGAGGTTTAGAGAATTTACAAGGACTTGATTATCTACTTGAAATGAGCTTTTCTGGGTGTGCATATATTGATGACACTTGTATTTCTAGACTTCCTATTTTGGTAAACACCAATTTTTTTCAGAGTTTGGATATAAGCAATTGTTCTAAGATAACAGATAAAGGGCTTGCTACATTACACAACCTTTCCCCTGGGATTCAACGAATATTATTAAAAAATTTAATTAGCATACCAAACTCAGATAAAGATTTGATCCCTGTATTATTGAAAAAATGTATGCCAGAATGCCAATTTATCTTTTAAATAACAAGATATTATATAATTTTAATATGTGTTTCCAAATTTACTCATATTCCCTTTATCATAGTACATTTAATTTTGAAATAAATTTTTTATTTAAATTATAGTTTTCATATTTAGTAGGGCCCAACATTTGACCTATTTTTTCAAGTCAGACTTGATCTAAGAAATTTTTTTATCTGGCTGATCCAGGGTTGGCAAGTGGGTTAATTGACCAAAGGAGTATTTGACCTGATGAAATATTCTAAAATATTATTGGTGAATAAATATATTTATTTAAAGCATGTTTATCGATCTAATTGTTCCAATTTATTTAAAAATATAGTTATTTATCAAGGCATCGATTTCATTATTATTTTATATTCAAATGTAAGATTTTTATATTAAAATATATGAATTTCATTTTAAAATATAAAAATAAAAGAATTTTTTTCTTTATTAATTTGATTGGATCTCAATATAAATATAATAATGATAAAGCATAGTTTGAGAAAATTACTAATTGCCAATTAATATTACATTATGTACAATTATCCAACCAAGATGGGTATCGTCTAAAATGTAAGGAGCAAATAAAAATATGCAAGAAAGCTCTGAAAATAGCTGTTGAAAAAGTTGGATATTTGTCCGAAAGAAATTACTGATAATATATTAAATGAAGAAATATTTTGTGAAAAATTTAACATTTTAAACTAATCTTTAAGATTTTTAGCTATATTATTGTTTTAAATGCAAGGTGATACTTTGGCCCAATTAAAAGACGAGATGCTTAATTTGGAAAACAGATAATTCAATCATGCCATGATTTTTTAATTTCTCCACCAGAAAAAAAAATTAAAGATAAGTTTGAAAGAAATAAACAATCCAAATATATTCCCACACTCTGATTAATTATTTCCCCAGTATAAGGGAAGCATTTTACTAATAGTGAGTTTGATGATGTGATATAATACAAGAATTAGGCATTTTACAAGGTGATGATAATCAAAATTTAAATTTCAGAAGTATAAGCGGTGGTATATAATAGCCAAAATATATGGAAAGCCGTAACTTATAAAAAATAATCAGATTTCTGATTCAAATTGTTGGAATGGACTTTGCCCACCTTGAACATTAAGGGAAGAATCTAATGTCTTACTAATAGTAATTATACTTCTTTTTCAGAAATAAATTGGTCGGTTTGGGGAATATTTATACGAAGAAATCAATTGAAGATCTCGACAATAGGAAAATGGGTGAGAGTATATCATAACCTAAGATTTATTTAAAATATTTAAAAAAATATAATTTAATATTACATAGATTTATTTTTTACGTATATATTAAATAAAGTTAGTTGTCCTAATAATAATTTATTTGAATTTGACCAGTCAAATGCACAACCCTGGACTGATCCAATCCTAGAATTTTTTCATAGATCCTAATCCGATCTGAATTCTTTTATTATTGGGCTTTTACAAAAGCACGTTATTTTCTACAAAATCGGAAAAGTTATAAGCACTGAAGGATATACAATTTTGTTTTTCTTGAAAATAATATTTATTATTGCCAGCATGACTAAATTGTTTTTATTATTAAATAATTTATTTAATAAATCTATGTTTGTAAATCTAGTGTATAACAAATGGTGCGACTAATTTTTTTAACCCTTGAACATATTTTTCTCTGATCCGATATTTTCCGATATTGGTTCAAACCCGATTCGATACCGATCCGATATTTATATTGATTTATAACCCCCCCCCCCCCTCCCCATGAACCAAATGTAATTAATAAATATATTTTTTTTGCAAAAAATCGAATTACGTATTTAATTTAATTTTTTATTTCTACAATAATTAAAAAAAGTTTACGGATATTGGTAGTATTATGAATTTTTCATTATTCCTTCCCGTGATATTAGAATTCCACAGACAACGCATTTTGCAATTGCCTTTTGTAAAATATTTCCATAATTCAGATAACATATTTAAAAAAATTCTTTTATAAGTATAAATAATAAAATTGGCGTTATTATTTAAAAAGATTTAAAATAAATAAAACTTTGGGTGTTCCTTTCTATTTTTATAAAAAAACTCTTAAAATACTATAAATCTATTTAAAAAAATAAGGGGTGTTGTGCATTTGCATTGTTTAAGAAAAATATTATTTATAAAATATTATTAATGTAAAATAAATATACTTACGGGTATCGGCCAGATCCGATACTTTTGGAAACCTCTAAATATCGGTACCTATCCGATATTTAATATCGGCACAGCCCTATCTTGAATTATTTAAACATAAATTAGGTAGATATTCTCAGTTTAATATTTTATGAATTTTCCTATATTAACTTAAAATTAAAATTAGTGTGTGCAATTTCTTAGGTTTTTATTAGGGCGTTGAATCATTAAGTATAACGGTTCGCTTCCATTCAGCTTTGTTTTTAAATTTTGAAATGGGTTAGTTCTCTTTCAGTTATTTTTAAACAACTTATCAGTTTTATAAGATCTCGATTCTTAAGATTATTTTTAATACAAAAAAATTCACTACGATTTATTTTTAATAATGTAAAAGTCAGAAAGCTTCCCGATGGCATATTCCCGGAAGCGAAATTTAAAATTTTCATTAAAAATCCCGGGAATATTTCTTAATTAATCCTAATATTTGATATCATTAGAAAATTTAAAATATATCGAATACTTAGAAAAGGATTATTCATATACCATATCACAATAATTTGATCTTCCTCAGTGCATTTTTATATCAGCTGATTTTGATATTCATATAAAGATTGTCATTATATTTTAAACTGAACTATATCGCAAAATTACATATTTGTTATCAGAATATTCATTTCGCGCCAAACATATTTGATTCTCGTTTCAATCATTTTGAACTAACCAATGATGAGATATCATCTGGCATTCCTGCAGTCAATGTCATATTTGCAGAATTCAATCTTGATATTGTAGTTGTTTTAGGCAAATTAAGACAATTTTGATCAAAGAGTGGTTTTTGAGAAAATATGGGAAAGTGAAAAGCATTTCAACCTGTGATATGGTGGAAAGGCCATCTACACCAACCTATAAGTTTGATTGCTATATAACTTTTATCAATTCTTCGGACTAATGCTGCTTCAAAGAGAATGGTTTTGGAATAACCCATTCCAAAAAGGATAACAGACTGCAATAAACGCGTGGAATAATTTCCATAAAAGCGATTTATATTTACACCATAAAATTATTGATGCTACATATAATCATCCAGTTATTAGTATATAAAATCAACCAAAAAAACTAGATTCTTAACCTGATTCTCCTCGATTTTTTTTAAAATTTGTATGATGGTTTGGTAGCATATACTCTAATAAAAATGCAGAGTTTTACTTTTAAAATCGGCTTACTTTTTGATATATGCCCATATTTAAAAATGCCAAAATTTTAAAATACACTTCATTAATTCTAAATATCTCAAAAAATAATTAAGCCAAAACCATAATTTAAATTTTATTAAATTGTTTTATAACAGTCCTTTAATATGACATAAAATTTTATATAGTGAAAATCATCTTATTATAAAAACTAGAAATGGGCATAAAAAGAAAATTGATATTCCTAAATTTCTACAAAATTTTAGACTGGGACGTGGGAAAGAGTTATTGGGGCCTAAAAAATTTTTTTTACTATACAAATAAGCCGAATTTTATTTAACCGACTAGTACTCAAAATTTTAATTGTATCAATGATTTAAATTATTTAAAAAATCCTGACCAGCTATAAAAATGGATACACCTGCTGCATCTATCGTTTAAAAATTTGACATGTAAAAAGAGTCCTTTATTTATCCTGCTTAGATATTTTTAAAAATTTGAAATCATACGTTTAATCGTGATTGTAAGAATTGAAAAAATTATTATACACTGATTGAAAGTCGAATATATGTAAAATGGACATGATTTTACTATTTGACTATATTTGAAGAACTATCAAAATTTATTTTAAGCCAAAATTTAAAAAGAGATGCATGTAAAAGTTAGATCAAGGCAAATAGTATATTTTATAAGATTTACTCAATATAAAAATATGAGATCAGTATATCTCAATATATAAAATATCTATATATATATATATATATCATTAATTTTAACATAATATAATATTTGGATTGCATCTTAAAATATTTTAAGTTATTTAAGTTTGATGAAATTGTAGGCCGAAGTAAACTGTCGTGTATAATTCATTTGTCATATTATCTGGAACTGGAAATATGAAAATGATATATTAAAATCTATTGATTAGCATCTTTTATGAGAAGTTACAATGCTAATTTAAACAATAGTTATATCAGAGTAACCGTCCCCCTCTGTGACAGAAGTATTATCTTTTAATGATGAGTAATTATTAGGGCCCGGAGAAACTTTTGAATTTCTTTTTAGTTCCCTCGATATGGAAGCAGCGGCCTGGGGAGGCGGAGTAGAAGAGGAAGATGATGAGGATGATAAGGAAGGGGGAAGAGTAGGTGAGTGCCGCCTCAAGTCGTTTATTGCACCATAGCGAGGTTCACGTAATATCCCACGATGGGATTGGGATCCACTTCGACTCTGTCGTCTTTTCCGAACTACCTTCTTCTTTTTCTTTTTTTTACCGTCATTATTTATATCTTCACTTTTAACAACACTGCAATTTAATTCTCTTCCTTCAAAGTAATTATTGTCAATGTGGCAGTCATCTATATATACAAATCGAGGTGCAGGGTTTGAAACTGAACGCCTAAGAATCTGACGTTGATTATGTGCACCGCAAGTGGCACCAGCTGCCACGTTGGTTTCTGATCGCGCCAAAGCCGCAAGTATTGCCGCTTCTTGACTTTGTTCTTCCTCATCGCTGTCTTTGTCTTCCTCATATGTAAAGTGACGAGTAAATAAAGTTTTAGGTGGAGGGGGGAGGGTAGGGTCATTAATGCTTCCGCCAGTATGGTCAAGGCTAGAGAAACTAGTTTTCGCTGGAAGCCGATTAAGGCGTACGAGGTCAAAAGCGAAGTGAGGAAGTAGGTTAATTTCGGTTTCTGTCCCGTGTCTCCGCCTCATATGTTGTAGTGGTAAAGGAATAGTCATTTTAGAGGAATGCAATTCTGAAAGAGATAGGCTGGCTCCTACTTTACGATTGTTAATTGTCACTATGTTGGTATTTGGAGTAAATTTGGTTTTCAAAATAGGAGATGGTGTATTATTTGACCTCAAGTGAGAATTTTTAACAGGAGACACGAGCGACATTCTATAAGGTAGATTTGGTATGCTGGAAGACTTATTTTTCCTGCCATCACCATCTACTTTGTTAGCATAAAAACCTTTAAGCGACATATCATTATCGTTTTGGTATTCGTTATATCTAGCGTAAATAATGTCCTTGGAATATAGTGGATGTTGCCAAATATCACCATTTGATATTTGACTAGAACACTCTTTAGTTATATAATTATAATCTCCGAAATTTTCTTGCGCCATTATATCATAACAACCAAATGACTCTGAACTACTTTGTCGACTACAGTTTTGTCTAGTTGGATAATTGTTAAAAAATTTATGAGCTTGAATCATAGATTTAGAACGATCCATTTTTGTTTTATTATCAAATGCACCAAGTTTTAAAAGATCGTTTATGGTATTAATCGAGTGATGAGGTTGTTTGAAACGATGTCTTACATGTAAAACATAAGGAATATCATCTTGAAGTAGCTTGCGTTGTTGTTCCTGTATCATTACATTGTTCAAGCCTCTCATCATCCCAGAGGGTTTACTAATTGAGTGAAAAGATGAGGATGTTTTTTGTATTTGAGTAGGATAAACGGGTGGGCTTAAGGGAGATGAAATTGATAATTCTGAGGACTTTGATAAATTAGAATCAGATGAGGAAGATGTAAAAGAAAATGGTATTCCATTATCCTTGCTTGACATAAATTTTATATATGTCTTCCTATCTTTATTTTTATCATCCATAAGCTGGCTCTTTTTTTCACTTTTTTTCTTTTCCATTTTTCTGATCCTTGTCGGTGACGGGTAGATTAATATAGGAGTTTTTGTATCTACTTTTAAGCCTTCTGACAACAAGGTGGAGAAAGGAAAACCATTAATATCACCGAAATCATAAGATACATTATTATATTCGTATCTTCTATCTCGTTCATATCGTCTGTTACTATGATCTTTTTCAACTATCTTGGTAACCATTACATTCGGAGTTTTAATTTCAACTTTTTCGTCTTTAGCGATATAAGAATTGAATGATTTATATGGTTGCGTATAAGGATATGGCTGATCGATTGTGTTAAACCTAGATAATTGCTTGACTGTATGATCGGGCAAATATCTTTTTTTATAATCTTCTGGGGCGGATTCTTCTTTGCTCTCATTTGAGTCTCTTAAATAATAATAAGGAGCTTGATGAGATTGGCTTTTAGTTTTTCCATCTTTAAATGTTATTAAACGTTCTACAGTGGAATGTGGTTGTGGTAATCTTCTATTAGCAGGGTGATTATAAACTTCTAAAAATGTAGTCGGATCATATTTTATACTAGGAGCAGGATGCGAATGTATTCTAGAGCTTGAGCCAGAGGATGAATAAGTAAATTGTGGATGTGAATACTGTTTGTAATCTTCGATATTTTTCAAATGTGGCATAAATTGATTAAGCAATTCTGCTTGAGTCACACGTTGATTAATTGGTCTAGATGCTTGCTCTTCGTATAATTTATGGGATTTTGACATACTTTTTCTTGTGTAAGATAAGTCTTCAGCCATTTCAGGATATTTGAGCATTTCTATTTCATAATCATATGGTTCATCATCTTCTAATTTAGCAATTTTTTCCATATTGGGCCCATATAGATTTGAATATTGATTATGTGATAAATTTTCATAAATTGTTGTAGAAACTTGTGATGGCAAAAAAACTAGCTCTCCGTGTTGATTAGTGGTTAAAGACCGTGATTTAGGTCTATATACATGATAATTCTCATCCATTTTAAAACCATTTGCTACATATTGTAAACTCGTAGCTAATGTGTATTGTTTAAAAATAAAATATATAAATTTTATAAAACTAGGTTATGATATATAACTTTCACCTTTATTCGAATCCTTCATCATAAATTTATTTTGTAATGACGCAACTGTTAAATCTTGGCTAAGAACTTGAGATGTCACCAAGCGTGATGATTGAGATGAATTGTTGAAGTTTAATGTATTAGTTAAAGGGGTAGGGGATATATCATCTACGAATAAAGGTATTTAATAAATTCACCTTTAGATATTAAAAATATTGATATTCTTTAGTATAAATAAAAGATTTTCTTAATCTAAAAGAGATAAGTTTTAATTGACAAGGAAATTTGCTAAGAAATAGTTTTCATTTAAGTTTGCATCTTCAATTGACATTTATCTCTTAGTGTAAGTTTCTCTATTACAACATTTTGTGAAATTAAAAAATATTAACTCCTTTCTCCTATTAAATGAAAATGTTTAAATTTGTTTTTAAAAAAATTTATCAATTGATAATTTTCTATTCTTACAATTTAAAAAAAAATCATTTTTTATTGAAAAAAAAATATAAAACAAACTATAAAAATACCTGCAGAGGTATCCAGCATTCGGCTGCCACTAGTGGATGATGTTTTACTAAGCTGAGCTTCAACCGAACCAAATGGTGCTGTATCAGAAAGCAATGCTGGTATATTATATTTTTTATCACTCTCGAGCTGCGAGGAAACGGAAATTTGAGGCCGGGCTTGTGATATAATGGTATGAGCCATTATACTTGGGCTTATGACACTTTTTATTGAAAGGTGTGAGCTTAAAGATCTTTTACCATATGAAAATGATAATTAACATAATCTCTATTTATTACTTTAAGACTGGCTATTTAGTAATAAGTCGAACCAGAGCCGGCCTAAGCTCTATTAATATTAAATCAGTTATTACAATAAAAATATAGGGCTAAATTTTTTGTAGCTTATAATTGAGAATTATTTAATTTTTTTAATAAAAAAATGCTATTTTTCCTATGCTATTAAAATTAGGAATACCTTGTGAATGGTTGTCTATTAATTACGCTTTCTCTAACAAATGCAATAACTTCTTTTTGAGTCCTTCCGCTATATCTATTTGTAATGTTTTACAAAATTATAATAAAATAAGTTGTCTAAAATAATATTTAAAAATATGAGATGTTATAATTAGTTTAAAACCCGATCAAAACACCAACATATTTTGGCTCTAAAATATTTGACATACCACATCCAATAAAATGTTTCATGCGATCCACTCATAAAATGAACATGTTTAACAAATATTTGTTAAAAAAAATGTTTATCATCTAGCAAAAACAACACAAGCATATATAGCACCTAAAATTATCACATAAAATAATCACATAAAATAAGGTTAATTTGATTATTATGTCACTGTATTCGAAAGATCATTGCCATCGATTGATGGCTTTGAGAGTAACAAAAGATTTTAAAGAATAATATGATAATTTGTACACCTATGACTCTTCTAGGGTTTTAACAAATATGCACATTAGATATAAAATAATTGCCATCGATTGATGGCTTTAAGAGTAACAAAAGATTTTAAAGAATAATATGATAATTTGTTCACCTATGACTCTTCTAGGGGTTTAAATAACGAATATACACATTTAGATATAAAATACGAATGGATCGATAAAAAATGAATAACCTATAAAAATAACATAAATTGTTTTTTTATCGATTAAATGAACAAAGTTATTAGGAGAAACTTGAAAAGGTATGATACTGGTGGGGTTGTTGATCAAAATGGGCTCCCAACAATTAATATGAAGAGCTTACATTTAATCCAAAATAAGTCCTGCTTGATTATAAAATTTGCAAGAAAAGGCGAGAAAAATAAGATTATTCAAAAAAATTATAAATACATAAAGATTTAAATTAATTTTTTTTCCTTAATATAATAGGGCCAAAACTAGACCCAACCTAAGGCTCCACCCTTCCCTGGGTAAAGTTTATTTTGAACTAAGTAAGACCTATATAAATAATATCTCCTATGCTAATTTTTAAGTTTTAGGATATTTCCCCGACCCCAGTCTCCCGTATCATTATTATAAAGATTAAGAATATTTTTTAGACCCAAATTATTATTTTTCTATAAATAACTTCTGAAAATTAAAATATATTTAGTAGAATTCGCCTTTAGAAGGATATTTTTAAAATAGAAACCTATTTAACGTTACTTTATTTCCCTGTTTTTTACAATTTCCTTCTTATCCCTTAAATGATTTCACTGTATTTCTTGAATATCTTGTTTTAGGTGGTATTTTACATAAAGTATAGGAATATGTATATTTCTTTTTTAACGATGGAGGGGGGGGGGGTACAAGCATATAAAAATATATACAATGGAATAGTTTATTATTTTTATGATTGAAACTTTCGTTAACCCATTATGAACGGGTAATATATTAATTTAAGGGTCAATTTCATCACTCTTCATCTCCATTATATTTAAAAATTATATAAACTTTCATGAGTATCTAAAAAATGACCGTAGCATTGATGAAACATTAGGATAATATATGATCAAAATTAGAATATTTTAAAATTTGATGTTTTAATTAAATTTAAGAATATTTAGTATAGATGGATAAAATTAAATTTATTAATTTAAGAATTTTTTTATTTTTAAAAATTACCTTTAAATAAATTGATATATCTCCAAAACTAATTGATAAGCTTGTAATTTTATAAATATATATATATGTCGTATTGGGATGAATCATGAGGGATTCGGAATCCCAACGTTTGGATTCGAGATCTTGAATCCCCATGTTTTATTCGGAATCTTTTTTTTAAAAATATTTAAAACCCAGGGGATTCGGAATATATATTTTTTTAAACAATTAAATAATATTTTTTTTCTTCCTTTTTTGCCGCCTGGCTGGCACCAAAAAATTTTATTTTTTAGTGATATTTTGTTATAATAAATAAATTATCAAAAAGGAAAAGAGAATGTTTAAAAAAGTAAATAGTATAAAATTAAGGCATATAATGAATGAAGAAAGTAAAAAAGACATTTTTTTGTAAATTTATATAAAATCATAAATATTTTCACATGAATATATATTTTTAAAAATATCCGAATTGAAAAAAATTTATTTATTGCAACAATTATTCAATGCAATATGACATTTCGTTGAACATTTGATGTTCTTAAACACTCGCACATTTTATTCATGCAACCCATTTTGCAATTGCATAACGATGTTTTCCCAAATGTTGTGACATTCGGTGAAGCTCCTAAATATCTTTAGCAGTTTAGATAAAAAATTAATATATTTTATTTACATAAATTAATTTGAGTATATGTGGTTACTATAAAAATAGCTTAAATTACCTATGATTGATATATCTTTGTTGGGAACTTCAAAATCATTTAATTTTATAGTTTTATATAGACTAGAGACAATAAATGGTGCTAAGATTTTTCCAGCACACGTTTATACCCATATTTTGTTCGATTTTTGATACTTTCCCTTCTAAATTTTTAGGAATAACTCAGAGACCTGCAGAGGTACCATTTGCACGGCCCGGCCCGGATTTTTTTAAAAAAAATATTTATTTTTAATGGTGATTCAAATATTTGGGTTTAAAATATATGGTCCAGCTTGGGTATTATTAATAAAAAATTAAAATACGACATGACCCGTGTATACCCGGACCAGGCTTAGGACCGGACCTGCAGGTCTCTGAAATAACTCATTCAATAAATTTAATTTTAATATAAATCAGTAATTGTATTGGGCGAGATTTTTCTCATAGAAATTCTAAATTATTACATTTTGAAATGAAAATTTATTTTTAACATGAATTAAGAATCTTATTGGGCGGGATTTTTTTTCATGGAATATCTAAATTATTACATTTTGAAAATTTATATTAATACAATTATTTTATTTTTAATATTAGTTTAAATTTTTTTTCTCAAATTTTTTTACCCATAACAGTTACAGAATATAAGTTATATAAAACCATATTAAAACACCCAAATACAAATCTATTCAAAATATAAGCAAGGAAATGTAGATAATATTTTTAACGATTCCGTTTTTTTATTGTTTATTAATGAGCAAAATTATGTGAAAGCTATATGCATTGCTACTAAAATAGCAAAGGTTTCAATCATAGATTCACGCTTTCGAATTGTCCATAATATTACTAATAGTCCTTGTTCAAAAAATGTTGGCCATAAAATTACATGGAAAAATAGTTGTGCTACCAATTATATTGGGTAAATATTTCTAATATTTTAAAAAGCGCCCCTTCTTTTATTTTATATTTAAATGATCGTGGGCGTCAAAAAATAATTTATTCTCAAATAATTGGACAAAATAACTTTACCTTAGGTTATCACTTGTTATTACCTATCCCTAGGACAAATAGAAAATTGTCTTAGAAATTTAGAAAGGAAGTATTAAAAATTGAACAAAATAAAATATGAGTAGGGTGTGCTGGAAGAATTTCAGCACCATTTATTGCCTCTAGAAACTATAAAATTAAATGATTTTGAAATTCCCAACAAAGATATATCAATCATAGGTAATTTAAGTTATTTTTATAGTAACCACATATACTCAAATTAATTCATTACATAAAATATATTAATTTTTTATCTAAACTGCTAAAAATATTTATGAGCTTCCCCTAATGTCACAACATTTGGGAAAAAATCGTTATGCAATTGCAAAATGGGTTGCATGAATAAAAGGTGCGAGTGTTTCAAGAAAAACCTTAAATTTCAACAAAATGTCATATAGCATTGAAGAATTGTTGCAATAAATAATTTTTTTTTAATTCTGATTTTTTTTAAAATATATATTCATGTGAAAATATTTAATATTTCATATAAATTTACAAAAACAAAAATGTTTAACCTTTTTTTTCATTCACTATATACCTTAATTTTATACTATTTACTTTTTTTAAATTTTCTTTTTAAATCCCTTATTTTGGCCTTTTAATTATATGGTGCCAGCCAGACGGCAAAAAGGGGAAGAAAAAGTAATCATTTAATTTTTTTTCATGGGGATTCGGAATATTTTTAAATAAAATATTTAAAAAAAAGATTCCGAATAAAACGTGGGGATTCAAGATCTCAAATCCCCACGTTGGGATTCCGAATCCCACATGATTCCATATCCCAATACGACATATATATATCCTTTCTTTACATTATGACCAAATTTGGAAAATATAAATTGTTTCAGATATGATAAAGGTAAGTTGTATTGCTTACATGCAACGTTCGTCCTAATTAAATTAAAATGGTTGGATACCTTTTTATGAATAAGAGAATTTTTATTTTATGACCAAAAATTTTGCTAATCTACAATTATAAACCTCAATTATATGATGAACCTTTTTTTAAACTCCAATTTAAAGCCAGACTAAAAATTCTAAAGAATGTTTTTCGATGATTAGAATTTCTCTAAAATTAGGAAGCTATTAATAATTTATATTTTATTAAACTTTATAAGAATGCGTTTAATTTACAATGGCCAATTTAAAATCCTGGGGGGGGGGGGGGGTTGGTAAAATGGAAAATTAACTAAATATGTCGGATCGTGCTTATGGATTGCATGGCTCTAACCCCATTTCCTATTTTTTTGATTAATACTCTTACTAAAAGCACCGAAAAGAACAATTCTATATTACGGAGATATCATTTTTTAAATTGAAACTTCATCTCTTACAACTATAAAACATTTTTGGCATGATAAAATCCTAATACAGTATAATAACCCCCTTATAACGTTCCTCTCGGCAGAAGAAATAAAATACTGAGAAATCTTGTAAATTATATGATTTCTGGAACGCGAAATAAAAACGCGAAGAGCCGGAAAATATCATAACCAGGAACATCATACTGTATATGACGCGCGTAATTATAACCTGAAAGAGGATCCTTTACTAAATAATTTAGTTCGCTTATGTCTAATAGTCAACTTTTCATTTGATACAGGAAAATTATTAGCAACCCTGAAAAACGTGTGATATTCGATGCATTTCTTCCAAAAGTTTTTGCTTTGATTTCGTGTATTAAAATAAAATTCGACGGTGTCTTTGTAGTATCCCTTATTTCAATATTTTTTTAATAAATAGGTCATTTAAGATAATGTTTTTTATAAAAGTGAACACTTTTAAAAGTATACCACAATATATTCCAAAATAACCTCGAAAATTATTTACAGTATAACTCCGCATATAAAGTTTCTCAGGGAAAAAGAATACATATTAAAGACGGTAAACGATAAACATTGTAAATTATATAAGACATTTTAGAACTCAAAATAGAATGCTTATAGTGGCAAGATATTCATCATATCAATCGAAGAAGACAAAGAAAAAGAAAATAACAAAAATAATAGCGAGAAAATAATGATAATAAAGATAACAAGAATGGCATGGTGAGTTTATTGACTGAAAGGAAGAAAATTTATAATTTATAGAAAAAAATCATTTTAATTATTAATTAAAATTAGCCATTCCTATTAATTTGGATGTATTATACATTTTCATTTTTTTAGACTATTAAAATCCAATTGTCTTTTCATCATTACCTTTGACATGCCTTTTGTTATTTACCCACCTTTCACGTTTTAGAATTTCAAATAAATTCAACGACGCTGGCCTGTGAATCAGACCGTTTAGCTCAGATTTCAGGGACCATTGGCCTGTCTCAGTGCGGTTGATGTTAGCAGCAGGGATGGGATTATAATTAATCTGATAGTAAGAGTATGCAACAACGTTTGCAAAATCCGCTCTCAGATTTTTTTTCATTATCCCTCGCCTTTGGAACTTCCGAATTCAGATGCGTTATTGGGCGTATAGCTACTTCAATCCTCGAGCACAGTTCCGGGAAACTTACGAACCTGCACACCAGAATCGCGGGGTTGAGTTTGATATATCAGCCAGACTTTATCCATTCTTGATACTACAATAATAGTTTTTATCGACCTATTCGAGTATCCTCACCAAATGCATAATCTTGAACAAACGCGTCCACCATTATGGGTTTGATTCTCTGGCTAAAAGAATTTGTAAAAATATTATCCCTTCCATCATTATTGACTTCTTTTGGCGAAGAGTCTTTGTAAAAGAATTAGAGAGTGACAAATTTATTGGCTTACTTTTGCATTATTAAAATTAAATCTTAGAATATTGGCCAAAATCTTTAAAGTTAAGGGTAGGAATATTAATAATTATCGTTAAATTAATGGAAGGATGTAATTTTTAATTTTAGCAAGGTTTTAAATTAGAAATATTTTCTGGCAGATAGAGTTTTGGTTCCCGAACGAGTCAATGATGAAGTTACTCCGATAAAATCATCAAATGTGGGACCTTTATGGAATCGGATCCTATCAATGACACGCTATAAGTGTTGTACCTGCGCATGGTTAGAAACTGTAACCAGGGTAGAGAAGCCATATTATTAAAAACCTATAAAACCAACGATAGTCAGCATGTTTTATGGGCACAAAGGTAAAAACATTGTTGTACATGAGAAAAATTTGACACCATATCTTAAATTCGACGGTTATAAGCGGGTTACACTGTAAAATATGTTATACTTAAGTTTGAAACCTTTTACCATAACAGACTATTATTTTTTACTTTTCCCTTTTTATTTTTAGAGCAGCATGTTAAAAAAATAGAATTTTTTTTAAAAACAATATTTCATTTATATATAGAAGTATTTTGTAATGTAAAGCGAATTTAGCAACAAAGATTTATACATATTCTTCCGGGTGAAGCTTAATCAAAAACTTTTTTCGTTTAAAGCTCAATTTTCGAATCTTGACCCAGGAAAAGGTATTTATGCGTATATTGTTTTGATATACTAAAATACCAGTATGTGCGACGGCTAGATTTAAACCTACACCCTCGTGATCCTAAAAATATATTCGTAAAAAAGAAAGAGTAGTTCAAATATTAAGATTATAAAATAATATATAGAATAATAAGAAATTCGCCATCGATATTATGATTTAAAAGTAATTTTATGATTTATCCATACCTGGGCAGGGTGCAACCTAATTCCATACATTTCAACTCTTCGAGCGATATCCAAAAAATTTAGATCTGCTTCCGCAGGAGTCTGACCACTGATTTTATTATAATTTGAGTTTTAATATATTACTATTAATTATACATATCAACTAAATAAAGTTAAAAGATGCATTTTATAAGCAAATTAGATGGATCAATAAATATGTGTTTTTTGTAAATATTCCCTTTATTAATAATATCAGAGATTTGCAGGCTCTTATAAAACCGCTTATAATAAAACTAAAAACACGGTTCCTTTTGAAACGGTTTACAAAATACACAGCAAAAATTATCTAGAATGACCGGCATAAAATTTTTCTACTGTTACAATTGCAAATATCAGAGGCCTGCAGAGGTACCATTTGCACGACCCGGCTTGGTCCAGGTTTAATATTTTCATGCCCGGCCTGACGCGAATATTTTAAAATTTTTTGACCTGGCCAGGATTTTTCTAAAATATATTTACATTTATTTTTAATTTTTATAGCTAATGGCGATTTGAAATATACGGCCTGGCCAGGATATTTAAAATAAATTTTTTTTAGGCACGAGTATATTTAAAAATATTTAAATACGGCCCTTTGAACGAACTCGCTGCAAATATAAAACTTAAATAATATAATTTAATATCAGTATTTAACGCGTGTTTTTTGTGATTTTCCATAATCATTTTTTCAAGTTGAGGCGTTTGCTGCGGAAAAAACTTGATACCGGACAGGTAAGTGTGATCAGGATAATCTTCGAAAGAATAATCCCCACAATCAGCTTTTTAATTTTTAGAAAAGATATTTTTTTAAATGGAATTTATAAAATAAATGTTCACAACTATAATATTATCAATTTTCATTCATGAAATTTTAAAGATATTGATATTTATATAAGATTACATATATTTAGTATGAGATCCAGTGGTGGCGTAACACAAATTCTCGCAAACCCCATTGTGCGGAAGGAGAGGGGTGTGATTAGAATCCCCCCTCCACCCATTCTATATATTATTAATAGATCCAATTCTTTAGTGTTGTTTACATCCATTATAACATGTTTTCCATTTTTAATATTGCCTACCATTTTTCAGAATTATTAAATTCAATTTCATCGTTAACCTTATTCTATTCTCTTCCTTTGACAAAGAAAAAAAGGGCTCGAGCTCGACAGATCAAAAAATTGATGAACTTTGTCAAAATAAATTGCAGTTAAGCAAAAATAAATATTAATATTATTTTTAATCAGGTTGATGAAGCGTTCGATAAAATATGTCAACACTTAATTTTTCTAACTTTAATTTATTTTACAATAAAGCAAATTTTCTAAATATATATAATAAAAATCCCATTATTTTAATATTTAATAAAGAAATATAGGACATACGTTTCTAACAACCGGAAAGACCGCAACAGCAGAAAGCCATTTTTAAAAGCTAGATCTAATCAAATATCATATTTATAATTCAGATTAAGTTATTTAGTTATGATAAAACATTGAGAAACCCATCACTTAAACTTTAATAAAGAATATGATATTCCATGAATTTGCGTCAACTTCGAAATAGAGATAAAAAGAAAATATATTTATATACTTAAATTAAAATATTTATAAATGCTTTTTATGCTTAACTTTATATAATTTTGAATTTTATGCAGTAAAGTTATAATTTTACTAAATTGCTTTTATGTGATTAATATAATGTAAATTAAAATGATAATTTAAATGAGATTATGAAGGCCCAAGAAATTTATAACGATGGAGGAGAGTTGTTACGCCGCTGATGAGATCCCATTAATTTATAATCTACAAAAGGAAAATAAAACATTTTTTGGTTAACCAGTTTATCATTTACCTTGAACTATATATGAAGCTAGAAGGGCAGAAGTGCTATCTGAACATGGCATGGTACCATCTGATAAATCTCTCTTTAATTGTAGGCAATACAAATATCTAAGGGATTTACATTTATGCACAAATATTTATAAAGTTATTTAAGGGTTTTCAGAATCAAATTTTTATTTATTAATAAACTAGTTAAAAATTTAAACAGTAGACGGGCAGCGGGTCGAACAAAATTTTAAATATCTATCTTTTTTATTTTACAAAAGTTTGTATATTTTATAAGTTTGAGCAAAAAAAAATTAACTAAAATAAATAGAAAAAAAATAACCAATCAAATTATTTAAACAAATGGGGATATGATATTTTTAAACAAAAACTTAAACATTTAAAAACAATGGGCGAGCAGGCCTATGCTAAAACCCTGCAGAAGTTTAGTTCCAAGTTTTAGTATCCATAATATTTATTTATTTGGAAATGGAATACCGTGTATATTCTTCCTCTAATTGAGTTGGATCTGGAGCGTAAAATTTGACACAAAATTTAAAGATGACATCATGTGACATGTCTACTTGATTTATTATTAATTTTTCATTATCTACCCAGCACTAAATTATACAAATTAAAATTTATAAACCAAAATATAAATCATTTTTTTAGAATGAAGGATGTCTACAACTGTCCCTCATTAATAGATAACGATTTTTTTTAACAAAGATGATGTTATTCTTTCCTGTAATTCTTTTTGTCTCCTACCCAATCTCTCTTGTTTTTGTTAGAATCTCAAAAGTTTTATAACTATGAGAAAAAGAAACCATAACATTAAAAAAACGTGTTATGAATTTTAATGTATATTATAATATATCGATTATAAAACTTTATTGCTTTCCTGATCTGCATATTCCAGTCCAAAATAATCCGTTTCTAACAAGTTCAAACTTTGAGTGACTTCGTCTAAAAGATTTTTACCAACGGATTTATGCTTATAAAAAGAATATTAATATGATAATTTTAAAATGGGTATATATATATATATATGATAGTAATACTAATACAATACATATTTTATTATAAAATTAGGGTGCAGCGGTCTATAACAAGTCTATTTCATAGGCTTGCCTATAGAAACTTGCTGATTTCTGCGCTTCTGTCCTAGCCTATAGACCTTGCTGCTAGGGTATGTTCGTTTTTTATAGCATGAAAAGTGTTTATTATAATTTAATCATCTGGATATTAAATAGACACTTATAAAAAATCATTTTTATCATTGAGAAATCTGATGGTTCGATTTTTTTTTAAAATAAGAAAATGGGAATGGCTTTAAAAATATTTAGACATAATTTTATATAATGTATAAGAAAAAGAATTTAACAAAAAATTAATCTAAAATGCAGAGTTATAATTAAAAAATGTAATTATGATGATGTCCACGCTAAGATGAACAATAATTCAAAAGTGAATGGTAAATTAAAATCAAAATTTATAAAAGTGAAATATTAACTCAATAAGTTATATATAATTGTTAAAAAATCGATTTTATAGTCTAAATATTTGTTATGCTTGAATTTTGAATATAGCATAAGTAAATGATTTAAATTATTTTAGACAATAAAAATAGAAAGTAGGGGAGATCGAAATATGCAATGAATTTTATAGGGGTCATAAAACTTAGAGGTAGTGACTAAAATGATCGAATAATACCTTTAACGATGGTCTAAGATCCTTCTATATCATATAAGTGATGAAAAAATACACTTTAAAATTTGTTTAATATTGAAATTTTGGTCAGAACAAGCCAAGGTGGATTGAACTAGGGGTGTTTTTCGATGGGGGGGGGGGAGGAGTGCTAGCCCCTGCCAATTATTTTTTGATATTATGCTACCTTTCCTTATTTTGAAGAGGGACTGAGCTCCCTCGCCAAAGAATTTTCGAAAGTGTTAAATTTGAATATTTACTATTTATAAAATGCGATTTGATATATTTTTATATTATATCTTCTTCTTTATCATGCTAATCCCAAAAAATTGGGTCTTCAAAACGCGTCCTATCCTTCCATAGAGCTCGGTATTGGGCCATATCAACGACAATTTACTTATCCAAAACATCCTTGCGGATTTGAGAAATCCAAGTTAGTCGTTATCTGCCTCTAGTTCATTGGATCGTAACTACAAGATCGAGAACTTGCTGATTCATGTTAGTTGAGACAGTCCTTATCAAATGTCCATACCATCTTAGTCTATTTTCATTTATTTCCAACCAGGGAGCTACGTCCATCTTTCTTAAGCTATTAGTCACACGATCCAGCTTGGTATAACCTAGGCTCCATCTGATCATATGCATTTCGGTTATCTTTATCTCTTTTTCTCAGCAGCTCACAATGCCCAAGTTTTACACCCATACAACACGACAGGTCTGACGATAGTTCGGTAAGCCTTACCTTTAAGCCACAATGGCATCTTGTCGCAAAGCACCCCTGATATGCTTCTCTTCATCCAACCCTTCTGTATCTTAGCGTTGACTTCGTCAAGACAACCTTCTTGATGTATTGTGCACCCAATATAGCTAAACCTTTAAACTTTCTTGTATGGAGCAACTTGCACAACCGGCATTCAATATTGCCAGATACACTGTCTTAGGCGAACTGATGCGGAGGCCATATCTTGCCAAATTAACTGCCTAAACACCGGCCCGCTGAGCTGACATTTCTACAGTTTCCTGGCATAATACGATGTCATCTGCATACACCACTGACCATGTAGCTGGCCTCTGCAAATCATCGGTTATAGTATTAAGGATAAGTATGAAGAGAAAGTGACTTAACGCTGACCCTTGGTGTAGCCCGATTTCTATGGGAAACGGCCTTGAGTCGCCAACCGCCGTTCTAACTATTGAAACTGAATCCTCGTACATAATACATGTAATGAGTTACACAACCCTCTGGGATTGTTCTTTTGCTCATACACCACCATATCAAATTTCTTGGTATGGTATCGTATGCCTTTTCCAAGTCAATGTACATCATAAGCATCTCCTTAATCTCGCCATATTTTGATTAAGTCAATGGTAGAACAGCCTTGTACAAATTGACTTGGTTGGGGGGGGGATAAACCCTGATGTTTAAAAAATATTATAAAAAATTATGAAAATGAGGAGAATTTGATTTAATTTTTTTAAAAATAAAATGAAGAATATCAAAAGAAGAAATCTATTTGATCAATAAAGAAAAATCGCATTCATAACAACCATTATAGGGTTAACAAATATTATAATAAATAATTATGAATTATATATTTTATGTAGAGGGTCAATTGGTAATAATGAGATTTTTTTGTTATTAATTGAGAATGTGATTAGAGTTATATATAGAGAATTTTCTATACCAAGTATGCCAAAATTTAACATCTTAAATAGAATAAAATCTATTATAAATTATTAAATATCTATCTATATCTAGTAATAGGAGATATTATTATTTATAATACTATATATTTTTTTTTAACATATATTATTTCATATAATTGGGAATGAGAACTATTGAAACCAAATCTAATTTTGAAAATGTCATTTCACGAGATGATAATAATAATATTATATATGGTAAATGGAATTATTTATGATCATTGTACTTGCTCCAATGAATATTATTAATACAAATTTTTCAGATAAATAATTATTTAATAAATTATGAATGTTATTTCTTAATATATTCCAGCAAATTAAATAAAAATAATGATATGGGGAAAAAGTATATATAAGATTTTAATAAGAAATGAAAAGCTAAAGTAAATTTTATTTAAAAAATGGTGTTCTTTTTAAAAGAATATTTTTAGAAGTATTATATAAAATTAGAAATTAAGATTTGGCCTGACCGAGTCTGAGAAAATGTTTGACTAATTCGAATCGGTCGGATCAAATATGTATGACTCTATTAAATATTTTTTTTATAAAATCATATTTAGGAGCGCCCTACAATTAAATAACCTAGATTATATATATATATATACACACACTTAATAAAAAAAAGCCAGCAATGCTCTGTATTATCACTCACTGGAATAACTTTACAAAAATGCGCTTCATAAATAATATACTTTAAAAAGAGATATACTTTTAAAATTTTCATTTTATATGTGGTATAATATAATTATTTTATGGTCAACTTAATAAATATTAAAAATATCAAAGCTTATTAAAATAAAGCTTGGAGTGACTAATAAGAGTTTTAAAATATCCCTACCTTGCCATTAAATAATGTTTTCCACTTTACTGATGAAGGTTTTCCATTTGTATTGTCCACCCCCCCCCCCCCCCCCCTTTTCTTTGAAAAAATAATTTTTATAATTTTAAATACGTTTAGGCTGCTATTTATGTAGAGCCTTGCATCGGACTTATTTTTTCATTCTCGATCCGAGAAAAAATTATATCTGCTTAGCCGTCTGTATAGCTTCTTCTAAACAGCCTAAAAAGAAAGAGGTTATTAAGATTTACATAAATGATCAGCTATATAAACCTTAAAAATATAAAAATGACATAAAATATTTATATACAAACTGATTTAATTACAATCTAAAAAAATTTAGTCCAAAATATAGAAGTACTCTAACTGACCACCCTCTAAACTTTCTATCTATTAGAACAATTCTCTCATAATTGGCCAAAATGTGTATATTTGTGACATTTACTTTATGTTCATTCCTTCAATTCTGATCCAAAAAAAAGTTTTTAGTGCCTCGTGAAAGCCGATTTAGGTTGGTTTTTAAGACGGCCCGATTAACCAAAATATTATTATGTAAGCCTCGAGATTTGGCAAATAGAGTGCAAACCTTTCTGCCATCCATGAGAAAAATTTCCAGGCTTATATAATATTATTTTGGTAAACATCTTAATCGGGCCTTTTTAAAAATCGACACAAATGGGGACTTTTGAACAAAACTACATTTTACCTTCAAATTACTAATTATTATCTGATTTATTTTATATTGAAATAAGTATGTTTAACATGCACATAAAAGATCCCAACCAATTTAAAAAATTAATTTAATTAAACAGATGAGTCTGATAACCGGAGATGTTAATATTAATCAAATGAGTGTCAATTAGGCTTTTGAAAAATTAAGAAATATTAAAGTTACCTCCTTATACACATATTCTATATTGCAATAATGCAATATTTCATGACAATAACCTTCAATATTGGTATACGGCCAGTCGAAGCAAACCAGGTGTTAAATGGTCCGAGGAAAAACTTTTGCATGAACTCATCTAATGCAAAAACTATTATAGCTTTTTTTTATAGTAATGACTGGGCTATGATATCGAAATTTATATGATCAAAACCAATTCTTAACCCCATTTTTTTAAGGAAATCATAGTCATACAACTTATTCCCTATATTATAAACTTTATAGTTAAGAAAGGAGTCGAAATGGTGAAACTTTGATATGATTGGCCTAGACTAGAAGGGGGCCATGGCCTTGTTTAGGATCCTGGTGTTATTTCATTGTTTTCTATAATTGGCCTTGTTTAATATTATAAAAAGGAAAGATATAACAATACTACTTAACTTTAAGTCATCTTTCTTAATAAAAAATTATAAATTTTAAGTTATAAATTATTCATTTTTTATAGAATAAAATTTAGACAATTAAGGCTATAATTTTTTAATTTAATTATTACTAAGCATAATTAAATATTTATGCAGTATATAAATGATAAATAATTTATAAATAACTATATATATTTCTTTTTTTTTCTTTTTAGCTTCACCCTCAACTTTATTATTCTACTCATGCTATATATTTTTATCTAATTTGTATTTCTGATCGATTCTATTTGGATCTCCCACCGGAGTATCGCTATCAAGGCCAAAGTATCTAGTATCTGGATCTCGCACCGAAGTATATCGACAGATATCCAACCGGAGTATTCATCACACAGAAGTATCAAATTGGGGTCATTCCATGTCAAATCAATCACTTTTCG